TTACCAAAAGCTACAATATAATCAAAAAGCATAATTGTTTTGTACTAAATTTTTTAAAGCCAAATTAAATTTGAAATAAGAATAAATGCCCCTTTGTAAACATAGCATCATGTATACGGACTGTGAATGAGTATTCCGCAGTCGGTAGCGCCCGACTGCAACGTTCTTACTTGTTTTTCTTATGTTGCAGGTAATTTGTTCTATAGCCGTGTGGAAGCTGCTTAGCGTGTCTTTTGTTATCAATACGAGTTCTCATTAAAAATAAATTGTACATGTTATAGTATAATATATATATTTTATATATTTGCATATTTAACTGTATGTATTTGTTCAAAAAACGCCACAGGAGAAATGCAACTACATGCACAGGACGAACAATGAACAAGAAAAATAGAGAAAATGCATTTGCGCAACAATTTATCAACATTTTATTATTTTTTTTTTGTTTACTTCATTTTTTGTTTTTGCTTTTGTTTGTGTTTTCTTCAGTAACAACAATTACGAAAAGTTTCTTTCATTTTCAATTGGTGGGGTGTTTTTGTTCTGTATTCTGTATTCAATATTGTGAGACTACAATATGATCTATGCGCGGCACAATGCTGTAATCAGTTTCATATATATACACATATATTCATATGCCTATACATGCATGTATATATATATTCTTTTAATTGGAACGAACACTAAAAACTATGCGTCGTAAAATATTTGTTACTTATTATTTCATTATGATATTTCCTTGTCTAACTGTCTGATGTGTATCGGGCGTATGTGTATGTGTGTGTGTGTGTATTTGTATTTGTAATTGGTTTGCTTTATGCTTCAACGTTCAATTTATTTTTGGCAGTTTATGCATTTGGTTAGCGCATTTATGTTGGACGCCAAACATCGGGATCTTCCATGAGTGTGATATGCTGATCGCCGCCCATTTGCATTTGGCCGCCCGCCTGGCTGCCGGACATTTGTGTGGGCGATGTGGCCGCAGCGGCCATGTCCTCGCGCGAAGCTCTTTTGTTAATTATTCATTATTGCATTAGATAACAGATGTTGTTTATTTGTTTATGTTAGATAACATTAGTTGTAAATGTAAGCGTAATCACAGCGCAAGCAGTTCAAGGAATAGAGAGAACATTATTTGGATTAGCATTTTGTGCCTTCAGTATATTAGTTCTCTGCTCCATTTCACACTAACAATCGCTAACTAGCCAACTAACTGGATGGATGTACGGGCTACATATACATATGCATACACATATATGCATATCGGCCCAAGACCTCCAAACAATACTCACTTCTTGCCTAACGCCATCATGCCGTAAACAGCGCCGGTCGCAAAGATCAGACCGCTGCCAAAGAGACTCGCCAGTCCAAAGCACATGAAAATGGGCGGCACTGCCATGCTGCAGGAATATTCATAATGATAATTAGAACAGTTTGAATAGCATTTGATGTAGCATTTGGCACTCACGCGCAGTATAGGCCCGCCCGGAAGAACATGGGCTTCGCATCCACCATTTTCGATACATCATTGACCTTTTCGATGCAGACAAAGCAGAACGGCGCTTCCAACGCCATCACCACAAAGCCCGCTAGCATTTGTATGATGCCCGCGACGAGGCATGAGACGCTGAGTCCAATGATTGACAGAACGTTCCACAGGCCAAAGAGTATGGCAACTGCAATAAAAGAGAGAAATAATATAATATACATCATATATATTTTGAGATTCAATGTGACGTAGACCTATACAACTGCAAATAATGCCTGCCATGTTAACCATCATGTTATATATTATACATTAATAACTAGTTAAGTTTTAGGGATTATAGGAAATAATAATAAGTATTACATATTCCCTGTGAGCTGGAGCACATACGAAATATAGTTATAATACTATATATATGCGACGCACTCTTATCTGTCGCCATGTAAACTATCTGCTAGTTAGTTTTTAACATGCATGCTATCTATTTAAATGGGATTCATGCCACATTTCCTGCCAGATAGTTTATCATAAGCTCTTGTACACACTAGATACATTAGTTAGCAAAGTCATTTAATAGATAGCTTAAATAGAGAGGGCGTTTCGTACCACGCAAGCTAAAAATGAAATCAACGAAGACATTAAAACCGAATTATCTAGCTCTCCTGTTGTTATTTAAATCGAATCTGTCCAAAAATTCAACAACGCCTCCAACACTTGGCCTCATTATCTCTACGCTCTGCAAATAATAGAATAAATACGTATATAGTATAACAATTTCACTGTAATCTAATCAACGGAGCTGACTCATACAATAGCTAAACTTTTATTTCTATAAAATTACTATACAAAAAAAAATTATAATAAAGAGAAAATTCAATGCTCTGAAGCTCAGAGAGCGTGACAAACAAAACAAGCAAAAACACTTGTTCAAATTGGAGCATTTGTCGGCTCAGCATCTGCTTAATGAATAGATAATAAACAGATGTCTCCGATTGTTCGTTGTCTGCTTAACTATATGGAATACTGAAATATGAAATATTTTAGCCTATTATTCAATTATATATTATAGCATTTTATCAGCTGTTTACCATGCGAAAAATGTTATCTTGGACGATAACACACTCTGGGGACTAGGTAAACAAATATCTGAATGTGTTAATTGAGAGAAGATTAGACGATTTAAGAGTATTTGATAGTTTACTATGCGCACAGAGTAGGAAAACTGTAACTGAACCAGTTTCGTTTGTAAGCTAATCTGAATTTTGAGGTTGTTGCGGTACGCGGACTTTGCTAAACTCCTCCACGTATGTACTTGGACGCTTCGCTCTGTGAAGCGGCATTTAATTATTGTTTTATATGTATTCATTATAAAAAGCAGTTTCTGCTTGTTGTTACTCATGATAAGGAACCGGTTGTGGGAAGCCGCACAAATGAATTCTTCTTGAGGCAAACTTTGTTTTCATATCTATTTCAAATATATTTTATTTAAACCATATATTTAATACCAATCAGATTCCGTTCATTCGATCATTTCTGTTTATTCGCTTTATTAGTTTACTATTGATTGTTTATATAGATTTACTGATTACGAAACATTTGGCACATGATTCAGCAACCAGCTGACGTTGAAATAGTAATAAAAAAAATAAAAGTAACAAAAACAGCTCTATTCGGAGCTAACAAATAGTTTTCATAGGTAGCGTGTCATTGAACTTTACGCGTTTTCCTTTGAATGCGTGCGAAATGAAAATGTTTGCATTTGGCTTGCTGAAAATCGCGTTAAGTTGTGAGGGAAAAGCCAGCACACAGTCCGGGTTCAATGTCATAGCGACTGCGGAAACGTAGAACAATGGATATGTGTATATACATATATACATTTATAAATTTATATATATACATTATGCAAAACAACAGAAAACAAAGAGAAAGGCAAAAGTAAAGGAAGAGAGACAGAGAGAGAGAGAGAGAACTTACAAGAGAGCGACAATTTTATTACTGATAAATAAAAATAGAATTAACCATGTTAAATTGATGTAATTTAATGACTAAATCGAAATGCATTAAGGAAAATGGAAAATGCAAACTTGACACACATATATTTATATACATACATCATGTATATGTACACAAGGCTGTGCCAGACGTGTGCAGCATACACACCCAAACACAGGCAAACATTTCTGTATCCTTTGTAGCAGTTTCTTCTTATTGTTGTTGTTCTCGTTCTTTTTGCTTTTATCAATGTCAGGTCGAAAAGCGAGCGAGCGAGCAAGCGAGTATGCGTGCTGTGAGTATTGTGGGTGGATTATACAAATACACACACACACACACACATATGTATATATAGAGCCACGCATGGTACACAAATAGATAAGCTGTGTTACAACAAAATGTGTTACATGCAAAACATAAAAATCGATGCTAATAGCCACATCAACTGTAATTCTTGTTGCTGTTGTTGCTATTGTCAGTTACTTACAGAATGCAGCAACAATGCCCAGCACTCGTGAGCCATATTTGAGATACCAAGGTGCTTCCGGACCGCCAGCTGGATCTTGATTTGGCCGCGCAAGCAGTTCTGCTAATTTTCCCGTAAACGACTGCACAGAAAGAAACAATTGCAATAAAGAAACGTATTACTTTATATTTGAAAAATCGAAGCACAACCGCATATATTTTTTAGCTATGCAATTTGTGACGCGGCCGCTTTTGATTATACACACACGCACACACACACATCATTGACATGCACAATTCACGTCACCAAAAAACTTTGTGCCGCGTTCTAATAGAAGCATTTAGTTTGTGTTTTCAGTATTTGAGCGTTCAGCGCGTGTTGAAGTACGTACCATTTTGTTAGGCAACTATTTAAACTTAAACTATGTGTTATAGCACAAATGAAACAACTTTATGCACTTTACACTGACGAAAAACGCAGAATAGAAAAGATATGCAGAATAATAACGATAACAGAGTGAGCTATCGAATTGGCGTTGCCACAACATTCGACATTTACAGAACATAAGCGCAGCTAACAGAAGTACTCCTCACAATTACAGCAACGCTCCGCACATTGATAGTTTGTGTTTACAAACTCATTCATCTCAAATACATCTTCAGGTTGCTAAGGTATGTAAAGAGAAACAATTTTTTTTTTAATAAAACAATTTTTTTTCGGTTTGTCGGAAATACAAAATAAAAATGTAATACAGATTTTATTGCCTGAATTTTGAATATATTGCCATTGTTGGTTGCACACGAACAAAAAATATAGGGTATTATGGTCTATTTTATACGAGTAATTTCTTGATTCTTAATCGAATGAAATGGGCGTTAAGTTTTCTTTGTTTGGTTCGGTTTAATAATAATCGGCAAATTGCCATTTTTGATATTTACGATTTGTTGTTGTTTTTTTGGACGTTTTACAGTTGAAACTGCTCAAATGCATAGCAAAGGTTACTTATTTACCGTTCTTCGTTGAATACTTGGGCGGTAAGATTTAAAATTGATTTTAGTCTACGGCAAGTAGTGTGTAGTTTTTGTTGTAGAAAATGGCATGATTTCAAGTATTTTTATAGACATTCAGTTTATACTACGAGTATTTGTCCACACGAAGGATACAGCTATCGAAATCGTTCGCCCAAGTATTTTAGGATTGTTTTGCTTAAATATTAACTTAAATGTGCTTTTCGATTCATGTTCTTTAGGGATTTATCTGTTCGTCCAGCAGCCCGTGTTCTTAAGTTAACTATTTGCTATTTCTATTGATTTGTGAAACATAAACTAGTATTCGTAAATGTAGTTAGATATACTCGTAGTTTTGTTTAAGCATTTGATTTTTCATGTTGCACAATATGGAAAATAATTAGGTTTCAGTTTCATTTGAATTTCTTGTTACAATTTTGAATTTGATTTTAATTTAATGTCTTTTTCTTTTGGTTTTTAACATAAATCTCAATTATTACTATTTCTCACTGAAAGAAATTTTAATTTAAACATGGTTTTTGTTGCTATTGTTTGATATTTGATATTCATTGCAATTTGTTGATGTTGTTTATTGATTTTCAAAGATTTTTCGTTTTCTTCTTTGTTTTGTTTTTTGCGCAAAACAAATGCACAGTGAAATTGTTACAAATGTTGAAGAAAAAGAACATAGAGAAATTATTTAATTAATGTCAATTTCCATTGAACATTTGTTAAGTGCCTCGAACAGTCTCGGGTTTTGTTGCTGCTCGTTGAGAGGAAAAAAATAAGAAATAAAATTGTAAGAAAATTAAAAGAAATTAAAATTTTGTTATACAATATACAAAATTAATATGGCTTTTCAAAAAGCTTTAAAAGTCAATTGTAAAAAGTTAAAGCGAAATCGGTGAAAGGACAGTTTTCAAGGCCAGTTTGCGGGCAGCATTGCGTAAAACAAGTTTAGGGATAATGCTTCAGCTTCGAATGTTTTAAACTAATTTGTTAAATTCGTTAAATTTATCAAGAGTTGTCACAAGGTTTCCAAAATTTCTGTCTTATACGATTTGTGTTTTGTTTCTTATTTATGTTTAATTTTTTGTTTTTTTGTTGGATATGCCTACCTGATATTGCCCCCAAATCAGTTTTGGGATTTCTATTCCCTTTCTTTCTCTCTCTTTGACTCTGGCTAACTCTCTAATATTAGTTTTAGGTGTATATATTTATATTTATATGTGTATGTGTGTGTGGGTGTGTTTGTGTCTGTCCGTGTTTTTGTGTTGGGGCAATGGACAAGGTTTTTTTTTCATCGATCTTAGCATTTTTTTTGAATATTAAAATTGTTTGCTTATAAAACACTTGTTCGGTTCATCGTTCTCGTATGTATTTATGCGTATGTACTTGTATGTTATGTAATAGTAGTTGTTGTTGTTGTTGTAGTCGTAGTAGCTAGCCGTTTTGTTAAGATCACAATTGTGCTAAGAAATACTATATCACAATTAAATATTTACACTCATTATTATTATTATATGTACTTATGCTCATGGCATTACATCTTAGGTGGTGGTAATTGGGGCGGGGCAGTAAAAACGACCCAGAAAGTCATGCAAAATGCTTGCATTTTAGTTGTTTGCCTCTTTGCCACATATCTTGATGTTCTTCTTGTTCTTAATGTTGACGTTGTTGTTGTTGTTGTTAATGTTGTTTTATAAAAGGTCCATTGCACTTGGGTGCAAGGAACGAATTGTACTTAACAAAAGTATAGAAAACAAATAACTTATATAGCAGAACGTTGGGCATTTAAAGCTATGCTTTCACTTCTTTCCTATCATTGTTTTCTTTACTTTTTCTCTCTATCCGGCTCTTTGGCCGCGTCTCCTCATCTACTTAAATCATTTCACTTTACTCTTAAAAAATACACGCAAACGGCTTAGGCTGGAACTCTAATTAGAAGGATGTTTGCTCACTTTATCGCTTACAGGAAATAAAAACCAATCTAATAAAACATAATTACTTGTCGTATAATATCGTATTATACCTAAAAGGTGTTTACTGTGTTCGAATTGCACAACTCTTCATTTCTAACTCTTCATCGCTATGCATTGCTTTTTTTTATATAATAATTATATAAAAATTTTGCCTGACAATTTTTACAAAATGACGTGTGCTGGAGCGGAAGACTCGCGTTTATCTTTGTTTTTCCTTCATTAATTTTTTTTTTTTTTTTGGTATGAAAATGTGTTTACGTTAATACAAAACTTTTTACAATCCTTGCTTGCTCGCTATATACAAATGAATGTTGAATAGATTGTTGTTCTTTTTGTTTTTGTTTGTTGTTGTTGAAAAATGCATCTATCGAAAAGTTCATAAAACTTTTAATGAGAGATCCATGGGAAACACCTAAAACTTAATATGTGTAACGATTATTGTTTCTTTTGTGTATGTGTGTGTGTGTGTGTTAATGCTGTCTACAAACTGGCCTGACTTAGAAATGCAAGAAGTATGAGAAATTTAGAAGGAAATATGTCATTCAAATTGATTTAGCAAAATACATTTGCTATGAAATTTTTGGTGAATGAGAAATTCGTCCACGAATTAAAATTGGGCGTGAAATTCAAAGGCCCTGGTTGTTGTTGTTGCTGCTGCTGTTGTTGCTGCTGTTGTTGTTGCTGCTGTTGTTGCTGCTGCGCCTGTTGCGATTGCGGACGCTGCAAAATTCGCAAATTGGTGCCAGATGCCATGCGCTGCAGCTTGTGCAATGTCTGTGCATCCGGTGTTGTGCTGCTGTTGTTGCCAGTTGCTCCAGCAACTGTTGTTATTGGCGAATTCAATGAAACCGAAGCGGGACGTGGACGTAGCTGCTGTTGTTGCTCCGGTTTGGCTGTCTTTTGCGCTGCAGCTGCTGCTGTTAGCATGGCAATTAAATCCATGCCAGTTGTGGGTGTTGATTGTTGTTGTTGCTGCTGCTGCTGATGTTGCTGCTGCTGCTGCTGCTGTTGTTGTTGATTGTTGTTTCTGGTCAAAATGCTTTTGACTACAAACTGCTGCTGCTGCTGCTGCTGCTGTTGATTGTTTTGCTTATCACTTTGCGATTTGGTGCGCGAACGTTGCTGTTGCTGCTTTTGTGCCTTGGCCGCTTTCTGTTGTTGCTGCTTTTCCTTTCGTATCAAATCAAAGGAGCTGACAATCTGCAATGGCTTCTGTTTAGCTTTGAGTGCACCCTCTGCAATCTCAGCATTGCTTACCTTCTCATTGCTTGCCGGCTGTTGGGCATCATTCTGGCTTTGGCTATGGAACAGTTGCCGTTTGCTTGTTGCTGTTGCAGCTGTAGCTGTTGTTGGTGTTGTCACTGCTGCTGCTGCTGCTGCTGCTGCTGTTGCTGCAGTTGGTGTTGCTGCTGCATTTGCTGTCACTGGCGTTGTTGTTGGGGTATTGCTGCCTGCAGCCACATTCAATTGCTTGTTGTTATTATTATTATTATTATTGATGTTGATATTGTTATTGTTATTGTTATTGATGTTGTTGTTGATGTTATTGTTGTTGATGTTGCTGTTGCCGTTAACATTACAATTGCTATTGCGCTTGATATTGCTATGGTAAATGTTACTGTTGGCAGTGAGACCGACACTTCCAGCTCCTCCTGCGCCCACCTTGCCATTGAGATTATTTAGCTTAACACCATCCAAATCGCCCATCGATTTGTGCCGCTGACGCTTCGACGAACTGCGCTGCTGCTGATCCTTTTTGTCAATGTTGCCATTCGCCAGCATTGTTGGCGACGTGGATGTGCCACCGTTTTGGATGGCCTTTGGACTCTGCTGTCCCGAGCATTTGCGACGACGGGTTGATGGCTCAATGCCAGCGCGACGATCGTTCACCCACTTCTTCAATCGCTTCACAAAGGGCATGATCATAAAGAAGGAATTGGAGTTCTTACCCAGTTTGGCTTTCGATATGGCATCGTTCTTATTGACCGGCAATGCATCAATGCGAAACCAATCACAACACTTAATCTCATTTCGCGTGCGCGGCGCAAACTTCGTATCTAACGGTATATTGCGCACTATATACAATCGTGTAAACTGATAGTTAATAAAAGCCTCAATATAATCATCCGCATCTATGATGTTCGTTATGTCAAAGCCCGTCTCCTCGTATACCTAAGACAATATAAAGAATATGTTATTTTGTTAATGATCATCTAAAACAAACATAATTTGTATATCTTTACTCACCTCCCTGGTGGCACAGTGTTCGGGATTCTCGTGCTCATTGATTTTGCCCTTGGGAAAGCCCCAAGAGTTTCGAGCGAAATATGATTGCACCAGCAGGCAATGATTGTAGTCCTCCGATACGAGAATGGCGCCATATGTTGGCACAGATAATTTATACGTTTTCCACTCCTCCAATATCTGATTCACAGTGTCGAAATGCTTATTCAGAAAGGGAATGTGCTGCAAAAACAAAAGCAAAGTGTTAATATATATAGGTATTACACTCATTATGCTCTTCCTCTCACCTGAAAGAGTTGCATGGCAAACTGCTTGATGCCCACCGCGGGCAGCTTTCGCTTTTGCTGCATCTGCTGTTGCTCAGATTCTTCGGGCGCACAGAAGAAGTCCAAGTAGAACCAATGCGCCAGCTCAATTTGAAAGCAAATGCGTATTAAATTGTTGAGCTCCATGTCCGGTACATTAATGATGAATCGGCTAGCCAGATCATCGAGTATATCGGACGGAATTTTCGATTTCTCTGGCAATTTAATGCTGGACGACTTTATTGCTGTTGCTGTTGCTGTTGCTACCGGTTCGTTGCCTGTTGCTGTTGTTGCCATTGGATCCTCTGAGGAGGAACAGGAGCTGCCATAGCTATTGGCCGTAGAGGAGTTGGTTGATGTGCTTGAGTTGGTCGATGATATGGATGAATTGAGTCGTTGATTTTGTGCGCTATGCCCATGATGTTGATGGTGTTGCTGTTGTTGTTGATATTGTTGCTGTTGCTTCTGCTGCGACGACTTCCTCTCGATCGCAATGGGCGCACTGATGCCCGCCGCAGGGGTGATAGGTTCACTTGCAGTTGCGGCTGTTGTCTCAAATACGGCGCCCGATTTGAGCAATTGTGTTAAAATGTCAGTCTCAGCTTCGTTATCAGAGTGTCGTCGTTGTTGTTGTTGTTGTTGCTGTTGTTGGTTTTTCTGCTGCAGCTGCTGATGTTGTTGCTGTTTAATTGCGGCCGTCGCCTTTGCGGCTACTTGGGACACTTGCTGATAAGCTGATCCAAAAGTGTTGCCAGAAACATTGATGTTGCTATTGTTTTTGTTGTTGTTGATGCTGTTGTTGTTGTTGTTGTTGTGGTTATTAATATTGTTGATGTTTAGCACCTTTTGGAGCGTCAGCGATGCAATCAACGCCAAGTTATTGACTTTAATCAAAGCATAAAATACACAGTTAATATAATTAAAATATAGCAATACATAAAGCTTACAGAATATATTGCGCACCTATTATTTATCAACAATGTAATGAACAATTATTGTTCATTATTCAGTATTGTTGTTTGTAAATAAATATTAATTTCTCTATTTGAGTGACAAAAGTCACACGGCAATGCACGCAAGGTAAATATTTAAATAAATTATTTCAAATTGTCGCAATATAACGACATTGAAACTAATTTTCACCATAGTATATGAGAAAAAGTATGCCATGAAATAATTCTATTACGAATATATAGATTGTACAGAAATAATAGACATTTTCACTATTATATATAGAGAGATATTTTTTATCATTTCAATGTAATGTCAAGTAATATACCATAATAATACAATTGTTTTTTTATTAAGTGATTCACTCTTTGTTGGACAGTGTATAACTAATAAACGAAAACGTTTAATGTGAAATTGTTTTTGATATATGAAACTTGGCATATCTAGTTACCGGAAACAATACCCAGATATGATAAAGTTTGGCTGCGAAAAAAACAAATAATAATGGAGAAATATACTCTACAAGTGTATCGGCTGCAGAGCGTGTAGACTTTAAGCAGACTTACAATATGTGTAAGTATATATACATATAAGTTATACAAAATTAATCTGTTCATGCCAGACAGCGTTTACTGTACACCGCCAAATTCTATTGTATTTGAAAGCACACCTTCAAAGCGCATAAAATGAACAACACAAATTAGTCACTGATTAAGCGAAACCCTTTGATAATCTTAGTTCATTAGTTTAGCCCAAAATGTTTTAGTCGACCTTCAGCTGTTTCTTTGCTGCCTTGTTTTCTGCTCAGAGAGATTTGAAATATATTCAAGCAGAGATCACCTTGAAAATAATGCTGAATAATCATTACTACTGTGTGATTGTGAGTGTGTGTGTATTGTATGTGTGTTTGTGTGTCTGTCTAGATAATGATCACAGCTGGGCCAATGATCTACAAATTGCGCAACAACAATTACAAACACTATTTGTTGGCAATGTTATGGCCTCTACGAGCGCATACTAATTGGGAATGGGCGCAGTTCAGCGACCTGCCTTCAAGTGTGTTGCAAGCAACTGCGCTGCCGCTGCGCTGCAACAGCACGCGTGGAAAACTACTGAGACTAGCAGAGGCAAACGTCAATGTACAGTGTTGCCTGCTTGGCATGAAAATACTTTCTTTGGAGACTCGAAATGCACTAAAATTAACGCACTTTTGAAACATTAAGTTATTTAATATTCAATAACTAATCATAAATTTGCATATACCCAAAATGAAAAATTATTATTTAACAGAGAAAAGTTGTTGCCAAAATGGTATTTTTTAAGTATATACAAATTTATGGCAATTTTTTTTTAAGAGTATTGAATTCCTATTTTTATTATTTTCAATCTATCAAATTATTCAACTGTCCGATAAGTAAACAGACGAGCTTTCCGATTATGAAATCTATACTGTATAATACCAAGTCCAATGTATAGATAGAGATAAGGCTATCTCTCTCGCACTCGGTGTGTTTTTCAAGTGCTGCTATCGTAAAACTAATGTAATATTTTTATTTTATTTTTATTTGACGTTAATATTTAATTAATTATATTTTTGCATGCTCCTATCATTACCGTTATCATTTTGATGGGCTCTGCTTTCGGTGTTTACTAATGTGTTGCCTACTGCTGTTGTTGCCGTTGCTGTTGTTGCCAAAACTGCGGCGGCAGCAGCAGCGGAGCGCCTCTGTCGCTGCCTGTGCTGCGACGTCGACGATGTTGCAGTGGCAGCAGCGGCTGTTGCGACGACGGTATTATATATTGGGGCAATTTCCATAATAGTTCGTATATATTTGTTTTTAATACACTTTGTTTATATTTTTCTGTTTAATTTATTTGGTTTGTTATGTTTTTATTTATTACTCAATTACAATAATGTTAAGTTTGTTGATTTTATTTTCTTGTTTGCTTATATTTTCACGCTAATAGAATATTCAGTCTTCGTCGTTCTTTTGTCGATTTTTGTCACGTATCTTTGCAATATCGTGGATCGCGTTTTTTCTGATTCTGTTGTTGTTGTAGCTGTGAATATGGCTGCCAGTCGTCGAAAATCGTTGTTAGCTGCTGCTGTGGCTGCTTCTGTCGCACAAATTTCAATTTCCAATGCAATTGTTGTACTTGATGGTTCTTGTAGCATGCATTTCTTGCCTTTGATGTTGGGATGATGTTGCAATCAACATAATCTTCAATTGTTTTTCTCTTGTTTTTGTTTGTGTTGTAAGCCATCCACAATTAATTGTGTCGCTAAACAGAAACAAAAAGTCTCCGTTACTCTCCACTCGACATACGTACGCACGCACACAACCAAACTTGTTTTTCTTCACGTACTTTCTAAAAAAAAATGAGGCTGCCTGTATGTATGTGTGTATGTGTGGTTTTTGCGTCACTCTTTTTTGCAGCTTCAATTTGCCTTAGTCGCTGATATTTATATGCATGCGTAATTTATATTTATTTCCTTATACGTTGCACTTAAATTTATCAATTATTTTGCACTATTAAATAGCTTTTCAATTTTTGGAAAAATGCTTCCTCGTCGCACATACACATATGAAAGTCGCAGACGTAAGACCACCTTTCGGCATCAGGAAAATACCCAACGAAGTGTACTACGCGTTGCTTTTAATAGGCATGTATATCATAGTACCATCTGCATGCGGTCACACTGCTCAAAACAGAGTTGAAAGTCGATGAATACTACTTCCTTTGATGGTGTATTAATAATAAAGCCAGAATTTCTTAAATTAATTATAATAATAAAGACTAGCCAGCCCTAATAGCTATAGTATAAAATCAGTTTTATAACAGGTGAAATTAAAACATATAAATGGATAATCCCTTATCGCAATGCTTTTATCGAGAGGGTGAAATGTACTGTCTGCAACCTTATCGATAATTCGTAGCTCCAAAACGGCCTGCCTCTATCTTTCTCAACGAGAAGCTTCTTATGAAAATATTGTGGAAAATTGTGTTTATTGTGCTAAAATTCGAGCAAACGTATTATTAAATAATGCAATTTGTGTTCATATTATGCCCACCACTGGCAGTTATTTGTAAACGGACGTCCACAGTTTAGCTAAACGTTACAAAATCTGTGTTTTTTGATTGTTCGATTTTTCACACATAAAAAAAAATCAGTGGTAGTGTAAAATCTGCTTATTCGCGAGAGCAAAGACAATTTGAAAACGCGAAAAACTAATTATAAGCACAGATGTCATATTAAGTAAGCAGCAAAATTGCATTTTCGAACATTTCCGCTTGCACCTGGTTTCCGTGGACGTGCTTTGGATCCGTGGATAACAGAGACGCAAAGGTATTGAGACTACAACGAGCACAAGTAGGGATGAGCGCGTGATTGTCTCACGCCCCAAAAAAATTTAATAAAATAAGCATGCCTGTATATAATTTAAGGTCGAACGAAGTAGACGAGTATTAACTATTTTAATAGTACACCAAATTAGTTTGTTCAAGTAACAAATGACATTCATACTTTACACCATATTTCACACTTTAAAGGATTTGGGGCGTGAAAATAATATACCGACAGTCTGTCACGCACACATCTCCTAGTATTGCGCTTCAAAGGTCGGGCGATTGGCAATGTTAAAGGCAAAGGCGTACTCTTTCGCTTCCTCTGATTTTAATTGTTTTTACTTTAATATAGATAGACGCCGTGTGGGGTTGGGCTTCCGCCCCGCTGCGCTTAGCGGCGAACAGAATGGGCGACCCTCTACTGCCTGGCTCTACGGGCCTTGGCAGCGGCGGTACAGCTGCTGCCGCCGGAGGCACAGGCACAACGGGCACGGGCTTGGGCAGCGGCGGCACCAGTGGCACCGAGCGCCCACCCTCGCCGGCCCGTCTCACTCACACATCGGAGAAGCATCCGAAAGTGACGCTCACCGAGCTCAACATGCTGCGCCGCCATAGAGAGCTCTGCGACGTGGTGCTCAATGTGGGCGGACGCAAGATTTTCGCTCATCGCGTCATACTGAGCGCATGCAGCTCCTATTTCTGTGCCATGTTCACCGGCGAGTTGGAGGAGTCGCGCCAAACCGAGGTCACCATACGCGACATCGATGAGAACGCCATGGAGCTATTGATTGATTTCTGTTACACCGCTCACATCATTGTCGAGGAGTCCAACGTACAGACGCTTCTGCCGGCCGCCTGCCTGCTACAGCTCGTAGAGATTCAGGATATTTGCTGCGAGTTTCTCAAGCGCCAACTCGATCCGACCAACTGCCTGGGCATACGCGCCTTCGCCGACACGCACTCCTGCCGTGAGCTACTGCGCATTGCCGACAAGTTTACTCAACACAACTTCCAAGAGGTCATGGAGAGCGAGGAGTTCTTGCTATTGCCCGTTGGCCAGTTGGTCGATATTATCTGCAGCGACGAGCTCAATGTGCGCAGCGAGGAGCAAGTTTTCAATGCAGTCATGTCCTGGCTCAAGTACAACGTCGCTGAGAGGCGACAGCATTTGGCACAGGTGAGTGGGAGCATGGAGTTAAAATTAAACTCTTTCTAATCATGTAATTTATATTAATAGGTGCTTCAGCATGTGCGTTTGCCGCTGCTCTCGCCCAAGTTCCTGGTGGGCACTGTGGGCTCGGACCTCTTGGTGCGCTCCGACGAGGCATGCCGCGATCTGGTCGATGAGGCCAAAAACTACCTGCTCCTACCGCAGGAACGTCCATTGATGCAGGGTCCACGCACCCGTCCACGGAAACCCACACGACGTGGCGAAGTCCTGTTCGCAGTTGGCGGTTGGTGTTCCGGCGATGCCATCGCCTCAGTCGAACGTTTCGATCCCCAGACCAACGACTGGAAAATGGTCGCACCCATGAGCAAACGACGTTGTGGCGTCGGTGTTGCCGTTCTCAATGATCTACTCTATGCTGTTGGCGGGCATGACGGCCAGAGTTACTTGAATAGCATAGAGCGCTACGATCCACAGACCAATCAATGGTCCTGTGATGTGGCGCCCACCACATCGTGCCGCACTAGCGTCGGCGTAGCGGTGCTGGATGGCTTTCTGTATGCGGTGGGCGGCCAGGATGGCGTGCAATGTTTGAATCATGTCGAACGCTATGATCCCAAGGAGAACAAATGGTCCAAGGTGGCACCGATGACCACACGCCGTCTGGGTGTTGCTGTTGCCGTCCTGAGCGGCCATCTCTATGCCATAGGTGGCTCTGATGGCCAGTGCCCGCTCAATACTGTAGAACGATATGACCCAAGGTAATTGTGTTCTTCCAGCAAATTTAACAATGTCTAATATAACATTTGTATATCCAATTCGCATTTAACAGACAAAACAAGTGGGTTGCTGTTAACCCCATGTCCACTCGCCGTAAACACCTTGGCTGCGCCGTATTTAATAATTATATTTATGCTGTTGGCGGTCGCGATGATTGCATGGAGCTGTCCTCTGCGGAGCGCTACAATCCACTAACAAACACCTGGAGTCCGATTGTGGCCATGACCTCACGACGCAGCGGCGTAATTTATAATTTATTATAGACTATTTCAAATCTTTACTAATTTTTCCTTTTATTCAGGTCGGTCTAGCCGTTGTTAATGGACAACTGTATGCTGTGGGCGGCTTTGATGGCTCCGCCTATTTGAAGACCATTGAGGTTTACGATCCAGAGACGAATCAATGGCGCCTTTGCGGCTGCATGAACTATCGCCGTTTGGGCGGCGGCGTTGGCGTTATGCGCGCACCTCAGACTGAGAATTACATGTGGTGCGCAAAATAGTTTTATATAGAGTATTAACCATAAAGTAATTTCATTCTTATCTGCATAACGTTATTTTGCTCCGTTTTTTACACTTTATGCAAACACAAATGAACAAACGCAGGATACGGAAGGATTCGGTCGTCTGATGGGAGCAGAAGCCGACGTCAGCGTTGCCATCTCAAACGCTGCCGCCGCCGCATTTCTACTGAAGGAGCATCAACAAAGAATATACAAATAGATCCACAGCAAACTGCAACAAATCGAAGCCAAATTTTTTCAGCGTTATGATGTCGATGAACATTAAGGACGTAATTGTATAATTGATTGTTAATTGTTTCCACATTTGGTAGCGCGTTAAAAAAGAAAAAATGTTTATTGTATCGCGAGTTTTTAACAAATATTCAAAGTGTTAAATTTAAGCTAACGAACCTACTTACATAAATAACATGAATGGAAAATGTATTTGGCAACAAGTCCTGCATGTTCTATGTAAAAAACAAAAAAAAAACGGTTAAAATTTCCAGGAAATTTCTAACATGCCTTCTCCCTAATATAAATAATCTACAAGTTCTCGAAAAAAACAACACTCACCCACACAAAAACAAAGCATTAAAAATCAAATATAAGTATAGAATTCGATTATATATAATAATTATGTTTATTGTAAAATGCTATGATAAACAAACCAAGAAATATGTATGCGAAAATAAAAACAATAATATTGCATGTAGGGCTAAAAAAAAAAATTGTAATCATAGTTGCATTAAGAATGAGTAAAAACAAAAATAAATAATTTAAGTAAATAAGCCCCAAAAAGAACAGCTTCCTATCAAGCTTAAAAGGATTAAAATTACAATGAAATTTAGATCTTACCTAGCGCATAACTAATTTCAACAGACACAATTAACGACTAACCTGGATACATACATCTATATATCTAATTAATAGGTTTAAACTACTCTCGAAAACACAATTTGTTAAGTGTTTTAACAGCTGCACAGCTCACATGTTGCTAAGGAACCAACTCGAAATAACAAAAAAAAAAGTCGAAAAAAAAAAACGAAAACAATGACAGCTCTAATGGAAGTAGGTTGTTGATTAACAACATAGTTTATTTAATATTCCTTGTTTCGTTGACTCACACACATACATTTATATATACATATACATTATTCATTCATATTTATTTATTCTTATTTTTTTAAAGAATTTTCGTCTCATTATGCGAGTAAATATTGCATAAGATATTATTATTTGAAACGTTGTTAACTTGGTAAACAAATTTGAAGTTTGCTTCCAAACTAGATTAAGAATAGCATTTAACAAAAATAATTTATATATATTAAGATATTGACACACTAAAAAATGCAAATCAAATCAACAGAAAACGTAAATAATTGCACAGTAAAAAAAACACACACACACACGACAAAATAAAAGGTAACACATATAAGATAATAATGAATTACAAATTAAATATATCAGTACCGCATTAAATATACAAAATATTGTATTTTATGTATTTTTTTTATGGGGTCAGAATTTTGAAACAGTTAAATTGTCATCAAATTTTGAATTCTTAGCCCAAGCAGATAGTGATAATGACAAATTAGGTCACCCTAAGCTCATGATTAAGTGAGTCCTTGAACAGGGTCCTAAACTGTTGATGTATTTGTATGCAAAAGAATTTTCATTTCTATGGATAAAATATGATGAATTTGCTTATGCCGATCTGTCATTATAGATGTATTCCATGGACAAACGAAACTCACGTAAAAGGATTTGCATGATTCGGATAGGGCTTTATATTGATTTATATATGTAGATCTGTTTTAGGACCTGACAAAACAAAGGCTGAGACTATGAATGACATCAAGATGGAGCACAAGGAGAGATGGCAGCAAGATAAGCTTATGAGGTAGAAAAAGTGTATGAGAATCATGAAAAACATTAGCAATTAGACCCCAGTAAAAATAACTCTCAGCGAAATCCTAAACGTGTTAAGATTTCACAATCTAAAACCAGTCAGAAATAACTGACCAACGCAGAGAGGCAATTGATTGGCAATATTTGAAAGTCATTTGTAATCAAAAGACCCACAAACATATCCACACCAGCCACCGTCGTCACTGTGACTGTCCACATTGTCCAATATCTTCAGTCAAAGCAAACATGTCAGAGATCATATACACATGTTTGCACATTGGCCAACTAAAGCTTTTAGTCAAAGATTTAATAGACAGGTTCAGAAGTCCATAAAACTGCATAAAAAATTTCACAATCTTAAGCGGCGTATGTATGTGTGTCAGTGACCTCAAAAGGTAAAGCTCGATGGCTAAAGACATCCGACATCTTAAATTTTGGTAAAAATATATTGTGGGCTACATGTATGTACATATTTAATGTAATAATAATAGTTAACTAATTAAAAATTAATATTTCATTGAAATTAGTAAATCATTTGGACGTGTTTTTCGACTTTTTCACTTTAGCTTTAGCCAAGGGCGCTTTTCCTTTCAGTTGCTCTTTCATCTTTCCCAATTTTTTGGTTTTGTTTATCGAATTTTTATCCGTGTTGTTTTTTTGCTTGAGAACTTTTTCGGCTTTTTCAATTTTTTGCAGCTTGACAGAGTTTTTCGGTGTTTCAGGGCGTATTTTAGTTGTTATATCCTCGCGTTCCAGCGGCTTCTTGGAACGCATTTTTGCTTCCGATTTGCTAACCTTTTTCATTTGCAACATGTACTCCGGGACTTCGCCGCCAGAGTTCTTGATGATCTGGGCAATGCTGTAAAATCGAACACAATTAATCAATGTAATAGAGTTTGATATTGCCTTTCATTTACCTTCTTAAATTGGCCGTGTCGTCTTGTGTAAAGAAGGTAACGGCACGTCCGGGACGACCCGCACGACCTGTGCGTCCGATACGATGAATATAGGAAATCTTGCTGGGCGGAAAATCATAGTTGATGACCAGATTGACGCCCTTAAAATCTATGCCACGCCCCATCAGCTCCGTGCAGATGAGCACCCAGATGTGACCCTCACGAAAGGCGCGCACACAATTGTCGCGCTGGTGCTGCGTTCGCTCCGCGTGTATGACATCCACATTGATGCCGTCGTAGAGCAGCTCCTCGAACAGCTGCTTGGCACGTTCCTTGCTCTGCACGAAGACCAGCACGGGTGGCTGCAATCCCTGGCGCACCATCTCGCGCATAGCTAACAGTTTACCGCTCTCGGAGCCGACGAAGAGCAGCTCCTGCTTCACCGTATCCGTGGCACTGTTCTGGACGCCAATGGTGACGCGCACCAGATTTTTGAGATGCCGCAACGCCCACTTGGCTACAGGCACCGTGTAGGTGGCACTGAAGAAGGCAACCCGCTTCTGTGGATTCGTACAAGCGGCATAGATGTCATCCAGCTGCTCCTTGAAGTTGTTCTGGCCCTCCTCCATAAGACGATCCGCTTCGTCTAGCACAAGCCACTCAATCGATTTAAAGTCCAGCAACGGTGGCTGCTGCTGCAGCAGGAAACGCACGCGATTCGGTGTCGAAATCAGTATGTCATACTTCTGCTTGCAGTCGGGTCCATATTGCTGCTTCGCCTCGCTCACCTTGCTTATAAAGTGTGTGCGTAGACCTGTTCCTTTGGTCAACTCCCCGCACTCCCTGTAGATTTGCTGCGCCAGTTCTCGTGTTGGCGCCAGCACCAGTGCGCGTAAACCAGTTGTCTTATGGCAACGCAGGCCGTTTATGATGGGCGTGAGGAAGGCCAACGTTTTACCTGACCCGGTCGGAGCGCAGGCCATCAGCGCTCTATCTTTCAGCAACACTGGCAGTGCCTGCATTTGTATGGGCGTTGGCTGTGCGAATCCGTAGGATGAGAGATTTTCCAGCAGACGTGGCAGTAATTTGTACTCTGAAGAGCGCAGGTCATCAAATAACTTTATAGGCGCTGGCACATCTTTGCCCAGCACTGTTATTAAGTTCTGCTTACGTAGAGCATTAATCTCTTCGACACGTCGCAGTTGCTCTGCCTGCTCCTTTGATAATTGTTTTTTGGCCTTTTTACGTTTGGGAGCGCTCGCGGCTGTACTTGTCCCAGTGTCAGCAAGCAGACGAAAGTCATCAGCTGCAGAGCAATCTTCTCCAGAGTCTGAATCTTCAGCTGGCTTACTAACTGGTTTTGGCTGAGGCGGTGTTTCCTTCGCAGCACTTACGGCGTTTGACTTCGATGGCGGAGCCTGTCAAGCATCGTATTTAGAAATAGTTATCACATAATAAATTACTACATACCGTACGCTTTTTAGTAAATCGTACACCAGCTGTTAATTGCTTAAAAATATCATACGTATCCATTATTTATTACTATTTAAATTGAACCAAATTTAGCGCACGTGCATTTGTTTTGTTTTTACTACAATGCTGCCAGATGCTGTTCATGCGGCAAGTTATCGAGAGTAAACACGAAGCTATCGATAGTTTTGATATGAATGATAGCACGGTAACATAATTTGTATTAAATGTTGATTTAATTTAAAGACATGTTATCTTGAATGAATGCTGCTTTATTTGATTTTCATTCGTTTTTTTAATCACCCTCCTCAGTGTTAACCAGTGTATCAAGCAGTTCCATACGCCGTCGCAATCCCTTTGTATCCTTCTCGCCGCCTCCACGTCCTGGCAGATCTCCTCCCCAATTAAATTTGCTCTCGCCACTTGCCTCTGTATCCAAATAATCATCTCCAAAGTCCACGCACAAGTTATGCATGGCACAAATGCTCTCTACAATAAGCCGCACCTCGTTCAAATCTCGCGCCTCCAACGCATACAAAGTGTGAAAGCGACGAGCTAGGGAGTCCATCACATTGTTAGACAATTGATAGGCGGGCTCCAACAGCGCATTGAAGACGGAATCCTTACGGAAACATTCAGCCTCAATGGGTCGAATCAGATAGGATTTGAGGGGAAAGCATGTGCTGCCAATTAAATAACTGTTCGCCGGCATCGTGCGCGGATTTAAAGCCAATGTTTGTCCGATTGGCGATTCCTCAAACGTGTACTCCTGCTCCAGCTCCACGTAGCAGTCGATGATCTTCTGTTCGCCATTGCAAATTAATTGCAAAACGACAGCTACGTCAGCATGTTCCGATTCCAAAAAAATTTCAAGGCGTTTCAAGGATATAATACCAAATAGCTCCTGGAAACAAGTCAACCGCGGCAACTGTTGAAAGCCCTGCAGCGTGCTCTGCTGTGCCTCCAGAGAATTTGGCCACTTGATGAAGCTCTCATAGTTATCGGAGATGATGTGCCAGAAGCTGCGCACCACCTGCTGGCACAGTGACCAGGGAAATTGAAACTTGCGCGCAATCTCCTCAAAGTGCTCATCCGTGGTCAGTTTCCACAGGGCCAGCGAGAGGGTTGTCTGTGGCGCTGGCGAGCCTGGCAGGGCATTTCGCTGCAGAATCTCCTCCAGAGCCTGCTGGATTTTCTGCAAGATATAATTTGTTTAAGCCTTACATTTTCTACCCCTACTCACTGTACTCACAAGAAACGTTAGCTTGCGCATATGTAGGAAGGATTCAAACTGGGCGTCCACATAGCGATGCAGCAAATTAAGCTCTGCGTATTTCCACTCAAATTTGGGTACCTTGCTTGCTGGTTGTGTGGTTGCGGCTGCTGTCCCTGGGCGATGTGTCCGCTTCAGCTTCCCCTTGACCTGCTCGGCGGCACGTTTTTGCTGCATCAATGCAAAGATCTCCGCCTCGTCATCCTCGCTGGGATCGAGTAACGGAAGAGTCCTGGAAAAGAAGCATGTCTGCTTCGGCTGCTCATCGATGAGCAAATCCTTGGCAATAATCGTGGCTATATTTGCCAAAACCGCTCGTTCTTCCATGCCTTCAACAAAACTTTTGTGTCGGCTAAAGATTTGGGTATGATTTTTCGTTTCCACCCTTAACAATGTTTGACAAGTCCATCAGCTGACAGTATTCAACTGAAAGCTATTATTTCAAATTCAATGCATTTCATGTTTATGTAAAAGCAATCAAAAACATTTAATAAACACATAATAACGATAACTGTATTCATAACACAATAAAACGTAAATTAAATAGAAATTCATTAGCAAATTTTCAAAAATCTACAGCGTTGCCACACTGACACTGTTGCTAGATATTCGATAGTCAAACGAGCTGGGAATCGGTATCGACACTAACCGTTAAATTTGGGCGCTGCAAGGAATACCATGCAAATCACACTCCAACGGCACTGAAAATAAACATATGCAGTGAAAAGTAATTTTCAAATGAGCTATATTTTGTTATTGAATTGCTACTTACCTGAACCAGGTTTCTTGACTTCAAACAGATCCCATGTACACTCATGCAAGGTAGGATTTGCATAGGGGACGCCCGGGAGATTTTGTATTGGAAGAGCTCCAGCACGCAGCTGCTTGATACGTTGGCGCATCGTTGCCAGTATATCCGCATGTTGCTCTGAATAAGCAAGATTGTTGCGCTCACACGGGTCGACGCTTATGTCGTACAGACATTCCTCCAAGAGGGCATTGCAACCGCGCTGCATATCGCCGCAATCGACCTTAGCGTCTATCATAATGTTTTTCATGCGATGCTGCGTAAGGCGTTGCTGGTCAAAGCGGGCAAGTGCTCTCGAGGCAAGCGAATTGCGGACCTCCACCACATAACGACTGGCGCGAGGATCAAGGTCATCGAGTTCACGCTGCGTCAGTTGCTGATCGTACTGTCCCGCCAAGGTTGTTCCGTTCACATACTTCCAATGACCCAACAGCAGCGAGCTCATGCTCCACACATCGTCGAGACTGTGCAAAATTTCGCGTGGCACATGTGGTGCTTCTTTTGGGCCCGACAACTGGGGCCACAAATCAATGCCATCCAGCTGCAACGAGTCGGGCAGCTCTATGCCTGCAGCATGCGCCAATGTGGGCAGGAAATCTCCAACATAAATCGGCTGCGTGAATACACTGCTGCGCGCTTTGAGCAAGGGACTCCAGATAGCGCCGGCCACTCGCAAGCCACCCTCCCAGGGTGAATTCTTCTGACCCTTGAGCGGCCAATTGGAGCCCGTGTTGGCGAACATGCCCACCGAAGGCGCCCCATTGTCTGAGTAGAAGATCACAATGCTGTTCTCCAGCTGATCGGCACGCGCCAATGCGCCTATCACACGACCCACGCTCTGATCCAGCTTCGAAACCATAGCTGTTTAAATATAATTCATTATCAACATTAATTAATTATTAATTACCCTCTTAGCTTGCCTGCATATTTCCTGTGATTCGGATCCTTGATGTGGGTGAACTTTTGCAGCTCCTCCTCGGGCACCTGCAGTGGATCATTGTCGTTGCCCGTGTGCACGGCCAGGTGATTGATCATGAGGAATAGCGGCTGCTGCTTAGCAGCAGTCTCTTGTATCACACGCTCCGCCTCATTGGTCAACAGATCCGTCACATAAACGCCACGATCTGCACACTCCACCTCCATGTTTCGCCTAAAATCATAGCCCATTATGTAAGTCTTGTCCGGCATCTGCGAGCGGCGCTGATAGTAATCAATGTATGCACCCCAATAGCCATAATGATAATCGAAGCCTCGATGCGTGGGCGTGAACTCCGGCCTGGCGAAGCCCAAATGCCATTTGCCCACCAGATTCGTTGAGTAGCCCGCCGCCCGAAAGATCTCGGGCATCAACGTGGTGTTCAACTTCAAGGACCAGGGCTCCTGATTGCTAATTACAAAATGCTGCGTGCCTGAGAGTTAAGTATATGAATACACATACATACATATATATAGTCAGAGATTAATTAATACGCATTTACAAACTCACCTGTGTGTATTGGGTATTTTCCACTTAGCAGTGCGCCGCGAGATGGAGTGCACATGGCCGGCGCATAGAGGCGATCCAGTAGACGTCCATGGAAGGCCAGTGCATCAATATTGGGCGTTAGAAACTCACGTCCGCCGCGTATGCTCAGATCGTCGAAGCCCTACAATTCGCATTTGATGAATGTTAATTATCTATATGCCGTTGACCTACTCCGATCTATAGAGATTTTCTCATCTCCATTACCATATCGTCGGCCATTATGATGATTATATTGGGCAATTTGCTGCCAGTTCTTGTCGTGTTTGTCTCGTGGTCGAACGCTCTAACCCATCCGAGATTAAGCAATAGTAAAAGTGCTGATAAGATGACGACGCGCATTTTGATGAATGAATGATAATATGAAAAATATTTAAATGCCGCTCCAAAAACCGTTCGATGCGGCTGCTCAAAAACGACTGATACAAGCATTATCTATACAGCCGTTGCTTGTGCCGCTGCTGCTGCTACTGCTGCGACTTCTGCTGCGACTTCTGCTGCTCTTGCTGCTGCAGCAGAGACACTGATCAAACACCGCTCAGGCACAACTTAACAATTAGCAGTCCACTGTATACCTCACCGCGTTTTTGTCATTATAATGTCAAGTGGCAGTTAAGCAACGGCGGCTCTCGAACCTAACAAACCTGAAATTTTTATTGAAATTGATAAATAAAAAATGCTGTATCAATTAGAGCAGCTCGACGGCATTAGAATGCAAAATGTGTGGCGAACTTTTGGGGCTATAAGTTAAAGAATACGGAAAGCAAACATGGGCTTACGTAAATATCGACTGATAGCCTAAAAGTAACGTGTGCTAGACCAGCAAATACCCTGTAGAGAGAGACAGAGAGAGTGAGAGAGAGAGAGAGAGAGAGAGGCGCAAGCAATAATAAAATTATATTTGATCGCTTATTTTCTTATCTGCAATCAGGCAGATTGTTGATTTAATTGCTTGCTCATTATTTTATTCCAGTTTAATTTATTTATATATTCATTATTTAATTGCCCTTTTAATGGATCAACGAATTTCAAGTATTTCTGTTTACATGCTGAAGCATTAAATTAATTTGAGCCTCTTCACAAGCTGCCGCAGTCTTCGATAATCACTTTCTTCGAGGTCTTGCCGGAGTTGGAGCCCAACGTCTCCACCTTGGCAATAATATCCATGCCCTCCACAACTTTGCCGAAGACAACGTGCTTGTTGTCCAGCCAATTAGTCTTCCCAGTGCATATGAAGAACTGCGAGCCGTTGGTGTTACGTCCGGCATTTGCCATGGACAGAATGCCCGGACCCGTGTGCTTCAATGTAAAGTTCTCGTCGGCAAACTTATTGCCGTAAATCGAACGACCCCCGGTGCCATTCTGATTGGTAAAATCGCCGCCTTGACACATAAAGCCCGGTATGACGCGATGGAACGGGCAGCCCTTGTAGCCGTAGCCCTTCTCCCCAGTGCACAGAGCGCGAAAGTTTTCAGCTGTCTTGGGCACTACGTCTGAACGTAACTCCATCACAATGCGTCCAAGTTTTTCGCCCCCGGCGTTGATGTCAAAGTAAACACGTGGCAACGACATATTTTTTTGATTAGCTAAATTAAATATATAAAACAGCGTTTGTGAAATAAATATTAAAAATAAAATTCTGCCAAATTACATGAAAATTATCTGCGAGGTTTTTTACCTATTTTATTTTTTGTTAGTTGTGTTCCGTAGCGTGACGAAAATTGAACTGAGAAATCAGAAATTGAATGGCTTACTATTTCCTTTAGATGTGAGTCTCTAGGGATATTTCCTGATAAGAAATCGATAACTGTATTTTGGGGTATTTTATGCTCGCTGTCAGTCAGACTAACCCCATCTGATATTTTCAAATTTTGAATAAATATTCTCGTCATTTTGTCAAAAAGAAACCCTTTCGAAACTGATGGAATCGGTGGAGCAGGATGGCGAGCAGGTCAATCGGGACGACTTAATCCTACAGCAGCAGCGTGAAATCGAGCGGGAGGTGAGTGCTGCCATTCATTCACATTCTGAGATGATTAATCACTTTCGTGCCAATCGATTATAGATCAGCGATTCAACACCTTTGGTCAGCGACCAATTGCCGTTGACCTGCTTGACCGCCGAGTACGATGGGGATGCGGTTTTCACGGCCAAGATTCAGACCTTGGCTAGCAAATATAAGTATATGCGAAGAACTCGTCCCGACGGCAACTGCTTCTTCAGAGCCTTTGCCTACTCCTATCTGGAGTGGTTGATCTCGAATAAAGCTGCCTACGACAAGTTTCGCTCGATTGCAGAGACCTCGAAGGATAAACTGATTCAATTGGGATTTCCAAGCTTCACGTTGGAAGATTTTCATGGAACTGTAAGTCTATAGCTGCACACACACAGAAGCACTATATGATCCGTTGAAAATATATTGCAGTTTATGGAAGTTATTAATAGAGTTAATCCGCACAATCCTGGTGGAGTCGAGAAGAATCAGAACGAGCTTCACACCATCTTCAACGAACAAGGCTATTCGGATTATGTGATTGTCTATTTACGTCTGATGACCTCCGGCAAACTGCAGGAGGATGCCGAATTCTATCAGCACTTCATCGAGGGTGACATGACCATTGAAGAGTTTCGCCATCAGGAAGTGGAGCCAATGTTCAAGGAATCGGATCACATACACATCATCGCACTCTCCTCTGCCCTCGGTGTGGGCGTGCGTGTCGAATATCTGGACAGAGCCGAGGGCGGCACTGTCAAGGCACACGACTTTCCCGAGGGAGCTCAGCCTATGGTTTTTCTTATCTACAGACCTGGACACTATGATATACTCTATCCGAACTGAATTCGGCTAGCTCGACAATTACTTGCTGGCAATTGAAATCAAATTACCTATTCGTTTACAGGGGTTTCCAAATCAAACAACAAAACAGAGGAGTTAGTTAAAATAAATAAGTGGGAGCATAATTTTGTTGTACCTGAATATGGCTTAGGGCAGTATGATAATAGGATTTAAGCTTTTGCCATATCAACATATAGATATACAATTATATATGTCTATATATATATGGGTTTATCAAATTAGTATTATACAACTTTATAATACAACTTTATAATACTAGAAACATAGAAAGTTTTCCTCTTTCTTCCTTTCGAATAGGAGAATTACGAAAAATTCGCTTCTAATTATACATAGATTAAGTTTGACTAGCTTTATATTTAGGTAATATTGTATATAGTATAACCCACTTATTCTCTCATAAGAAAAGGGGCTTGCCTTGCTTATAATATTTTATATTGTATATAATTCAATACACCCCAATAGACAAACCACAAAAATATGGTTCTAGTTTTGAGGTAAAGTGAATATTCAGCCAAATATCTCACAGTAATTAGAGATAGGAAATGTTAATATATTGTTTTCCTGCAGTATTACTAAATAATATATCAATTTTCTCTGTTCTCCATGCACCCAATAGTCGTTAGCTTCAATACCATATATACGTTTATCAGAATTGCTTTACACAAAATGTAAATTACAAATTTCAAGGTTCAATAATACGTCGATAATAATTGGTTTACACAAATGTAAGTTCCAAGGTTCAATACTGCTAAAAACTATAATGAAAAAAATATTTTCCAATTCGCCACACCCGCAGTGGTCGTATATAAGAAGCTTAACATCCTTTAAGAAGTGCGAACTGAGATGATAAGCACTAGGGATTCATTAGGTATCTTTATCAGCATATACATACATGTGTATATAACTGAACTGAACAAAATTGAATATATTTTGTAAAATATAATAATGAAAAATGTATTTATAATGTTCTTGAACTCGCTCTAATAAATATTTGAAAAAAAAAAATTAAGAAATGTTCATGAACTTGATTTTTGGTACTAGATCCCATGGTATATAATGAGCTTGCATGATAACCCCAATCGTACTTGGGTCTGTTAATCACAATCAATTTTCGTATTGTTTGTTGTCCATTGTCTCATTAATTGTTCAGTTTTTTTTTTTTTGTATTTTATTTTCTCACAGCTGTTTGCTGCGGTTATTGAATATTATTATTGTACACGTTCTTTATGTCTAGTTTAATACAATTTACACCTTTGTTTACAACTAAATTCTAGATTAAATGGGCCTCAGCAAGGCAAAGACACACACAGACACACACACATAGATAATATAAAATGTACACAAACACACTCACACACACACACACACATTCAGACAGACATTGACTAATTTAAAGGCATTAAATACTCATTATGAGCTCGTTCTATGTTCTATATAGATTTATATATACATATATGTAAGTATGTATGTATATATATTCTCTCTCCATTACCAGACGACACTGCGCACAGCCGCCGGCAGCTCACAAATCGCATTATGCACAGGTATTGCCAGGAAACCGGCCAGCGCAATGCCATATGAATCGGATTGGACGACCATGGACATGGCGAACTGCTGACGGCCCGGCGCTATTTCCTTGGACATGCGATAGAAGGTGTTCACATAGGCACCGCCGCCCAGCAGGCCCTCCCACAGCACGATGACAAACACAATCCAAATGGTGGGCGTGTAGAACCAAATGACTTCGGTCAGGAAGTAGACAACGTTGATGAACTGGAACACGGACATTAGCCAGATTTTGTTCAGTTGGAAAATGTTGACGGAGGAGCGTGAGATGAACACGCCTATCTGGTAGTCGACGTTCAGCCAGCGGTACTGAGACGCCTTGTCCAGGAAGATGTTCTCAAAGTAAACCAGCTCGAACTAGGAAGGGGAGCAAGTCAGTGGGAATCTTATGAGACGTTCGCTCGATCTCAGACACTCACCAGTCCCTGATTGATAAAGTACTCGAAGAAGTAGACCAGGCACAGCGGCAGCATGTACTTGAACAGATGCTTAATGTAGGACAACTTCTCCTTGAAGCCCACCAGGGGCTTTTCGTCGCTGATCAGCTCCTCGGTCGACTCGACTGTGGTGACGGGCAGCACCTGAGGACGACGCAAGAGCAGCCAAAAGGCGAACGCTTCGATGGCCGGAAAGATCAGCATGATCAGCATCGTATCCCGCGGACTGACATCCAGAGCGCGCAGCGAGGCATAGCTGAGCGAGCCAATGACGCCAGCACCGCCCGTGCCCGAAGACCAGGTGGAGATGACATTTCTAGGAGAAGGAAAATTTGAGTAAACTCAATCAATAACGACCGACAGTTAAACTCACTTGTTGAAGCGCGAGGAGTAGGCCAGGAAGGTTGTTTCCCCAATGCCGCTGCTCGCCGAGGTGATAATGACGCCCAGCAGTGCCATCCACTCGGCATTGGCAAAGCCCACAAACAGGAAACCCGCCGCAGAGCAGGCCACAGCTATGCCTATGCGTACACTGTGAGAAAAAGGAAGGTAGTCTATATACATTGTGTAAGGACTTTCAGCTAAGCGACTCACTTAACCCAGAAGGGAAAGAAGGGCATCAGAATTTTGACAAACAGCGAGGGCAGAACATCCGCCAGCAATATAGCGCCCGTCGATACCAAATGGCACTCCCGACCCTTGCCCGTATCGTCGACCTCGCCCACCTCAGGCTGAAAGGAAGATTTAGTTATGATGATCATTTATGTATGTATATCTTTTATAATCCCAGCCCACCTCATCATTGAACTGCGCTATAATGTCGTGCGCCGCGCTCAGCATAACCACATAGCCATAGTTGTTGCATAGACCCAGGATCCAGTAGGCCGTCAGATCTCGCCAGAGGCTGCGATCGTGCCGTATGCTGTGCGCTGCGCCTGGGGGCGTGACCACCACCTGTGGATTGTGATCGCTGTCCTCGGCCTCCTGCTGCTTGCTGGACGCCGACATCTTGGGCAGGAGTACTGCAATTGGAGGACATTTTGGGATTGGTTAGGATTAGCTATGCACCCATAATGTCATCCGGCTTAGATAACCTGCCAGCAATTCATGATCAACATCTTCATCTACATCTCTAGCCATTTAGCCAACTTGCTTAACTGTTCTCCATGTACAGCTTTAGCCACCTTGGCCTATAATTAGTTCAAGTGTAGCAGGGTGAACGTCATAACGAAAGCTCTTTTCGCATTTACTGTGAAAGCTTTGCCTTCTTTAATAACTCATTTATCAACTCTGAATGTGTGTGTGTGTGTGTGTGTTCGAGTGAGCTTTAGTTATTAAGCTAATCATGTGCGTCGGCGGTCTTGAATGTTTTCATTGAGCAAGTTCAACTTAGTCGAACACATTTTGCCTGCTGCAAACGTGCTGCCAATGCTAATAAACTGTGCGAGTGATACAACACTTAAATAGCCGTTAAGTACTGTAAATAAAACAGGATTAGCTATTGTGACTATATGAATCAGATCTTGATTTTGGAAATATTAAAGTCCGGTTCTGAGATCAGAATAATGCGGTCATGCGAGGTGTTGGACGAGTAATTAAAATTTGGTTTTATAAAATTGAACGTATTTCGGCTGTATCTGCAGTGTTTCGTATACCCAGAGAAACCAGTTTTAATGGATATTGAAGTTTGGCATGTGGAATTGTGAATTGTAGTAAATATTTTTGTACTGTTTAGCATCTCAACGTTCTCCCCATTAAAAGCCACTTCGACTTTTCTAATCAAATGACTTCTCTACTTTGACGATCTGTGCAATTATTAAATTAATATATACTCTATAGCAGATATTATTTGAAATATACAATGAAATATTGACAGACCACAGGTTGCGCTCATTAAAATTTACCGGCTAACAATGGAATATTCAATGAAAATTCAAGTCAGCTATAGAATTGAAAGCACATGATAATCAATATAAGAGAATATAATATAAGAAGGTCATTGCTATATAAAATTTGCATAAGGCGGATATAAAATCAAATCATATTACATACTTTATGTTTGTAATTTTCAAGCATGTGCACTGGTATTATAAAAGATAATATAATATAATATATAATATAATATAAGATAAACAGCTACTTATTCTACATACATATGTATATAATTTTAAGTATAAATATCATCGCATAATTGCAGTGGGCAAAAGTCTGGAGCCGATAAGAATATAAATAAGATATACCCACTTAATATGTGTGTAAGTCATACACTCAATTATTTCCCTATGGGCGATTTGTCGATTTTGGCGGCATAAAGTCTAAAAACAAGCTAGAAGCCTAATTTTTTTTTTTATTATGTTACTAATATTTTTCTTGAATTTCGGATTTGTTTTCTTTTAGATTGTGCCACGCCTTTTTTTCGCCCTAATCAAGTATACCTAAATTCTAGATTTTTTTTTTGGAAATGTTTTCATATATGTATCGAGAAAAAGTCTTTGACTGGAAGATTTGCACTGTAAACATGTAGTTCAATAATAGTACCTCACTTTAACAATACAAACTATGCAAAACCGATATACCCTTTACACTTCATGAACAGTGCATAGAAAGGAAGCAGAATACAAGTTTCGTCGCTTCTTACAGTTTCAAAACTTCAGCCAATAATTTTGTTACTCTTTCTTATTCTTTCCTATTTTTAAATGTAAAGCTCACCAATCAGATTAAAGACATTTATGTATATACACAAACAAGTACTTAGGCTATTAGTAATACCCCAAATTAAAAGTCTATAAAGCGCTTTTATAATGTAATGTGATTTTGATAAACATGCTGTTAAAAAGTTTACAATTTCTTGAGCCTATAAAACTAAATTTTTGCTTTAAGACGATTTCTTGATAACAAAGCTGTTTGGTGATAAGATTACAGGATGTCTTTCATAAATCAAACGTTGCCTAAAATGACGTTGACTTAATTGAGTTTTAATTGTGGATATTGACCAAGTGCGATTG